TGAGGGACCCCCACCAATAAATAGACCCCTAATTATCGCTAACAGATTTAGCTTTGTAATTGATCAGTCATTTAAAATTAAACTTAAAACTATCAGCACTCACACCATTTCAATGTTACTTATACAGTTAAAGAGATACGCACACCTGTTATGTAATCCCACTTTCAAGGACTTTTCTTGCAGAAAAATTAGTTGATTTGTGACTAATACATTTCAGATTCACCCTACCCTAATCATCTGGTGGAAACTAAATATGACGGGAAAAGCATTATGTACTCTATATATTCCCCTCTGAAGCAAAACTGAAGTAAAGTAGAACACGTAAAGGAGTTCACGCAATTCCATGTTCAGTGACTTTTATTGAAGAATGCAATTTACTCTTATCCTTTCATTTATTGATTACAACAAATGTCTTGGCTGTTGTGTATAACGATATAACAAAATAACACAATTTGAGTATTTACACTAGATATATGCGTAAAGGAGATCACGTGCTGAAAAACTAATTTTATTACAAGCTCCAAATGGACATACCCAAAACATCTCTTGATACCCTATGTTTAGAGTGATATCAAATCAAAATGTATACTTCCCGGATTGATTTTAGGCTATATTATTTTTATTTACTCAAAAATTTTTAATTATTGTCTTGAAAAAAACAACCGTAAAAGAGAACATACGATTACAGCAATGTGTTATTTTAGATATTTTTATATGTGAAAAAGTAATCGGACAATCAGCTAATAATAAATTTACAAAACATAAATGTTTACTAATTAATCACAATAAACGCTTGAATCATACTTACAATTTTTGTGTTTGTGTTATTGCTTTGAAATTAAATTTTTCTGCTGGTGAGATGCTGCTTTTAACGCCCCACTATTGTTTATTTCTTTGGTTTGCTGGGAGAACTTAACAAAAACTAAACATATTACATGTGTTTGGAAAGTTCTGTCCATCATCTCTCATTTAAAAATTACTGTATGTTTGTGTAAAGTACGTACTCAGAGAAATTTGCCCCAGAACACTGGCGACATTAAACTGGACACTTAAGAAAGACTGACCCTTTAATTGCTAAATTTTACTAATTTAACTGCAAAATCTAAAATGAACTAGAAGTTTTTCCATCGTAAAAATATTAGATTATATTGGTAATCGTCAACGCTGCTTAACTAAGGAGAATGTCTTTTAAACACTAAACAAGACATATGAAAAAATAACATGAAGAAAATAATATAACCATTTTTGCATTGTGTTTGTCAACCTCAAATTTAACTGGGAAACCGTATGAAGTCGAAATTATCTATAATCTTGTTTTTTCGACAGTTATGAAGTGTTTCAACAAACACGCCATGGCAGTATTACTTCATATGAATTGTTAGGTTTTATTTTTTCCTCCACATTTTCAGGCGAATAGCCTAGTCTTCGCGTAAATGCCTTTCTTTTACATACTTAAGGAAATTGAAACCTTTATACACTTTATGGATCAACAGTTGATACTGCGAAACTTTACAACAGAAATTATTTCTTGCTGCTTTTCTCTCGCAAACCATATTATTATTGCACTTACTAGCCATTTTATCCTTACTGTTTGAGCATTTGACCATCCTCATTCACGCCTTGTGGCGCCACAGTCTTTTAGCACGACGTATGGAAGACCACTGTGGCTATTACACATGTACGTTTAGTTAAGATATTATCACGTGACCAGTATGGTTATCTATAGCTATCTACGGGTAAATAAGAAAGCGAATCTGCGATGAAACAGTAAATGTCTGTAGAGGCATTACAACTTTAAAAGTGAAGATTGTAGTATGGAGAAATGTATAAGCAAAAAATAACCAGACGTTAATTGTGCTGAGGCTAGATTATAGAGACAATGAGTTTAATATTTTTAGATTGAGAAAAGCGAAATCATCGAGTCATTGTACAGAAACGGCGTTGGATTCTGAGTTAAGTTGAAAGTTAAACTACCTACTAAACTACAGTAGTAGTACAATACAGTAATACTGGAGTGTAAGAGATGTTGATCTGTTCAAAAGTTTAAATGAACTACGCTTATATCTACACTATTTTACGGAATTTGCCTCCAATACTTTCAGTTACTAAGGCTAGTAGTAGTAATTAAAATTAATACTACTACTACTACTACTTGAGTACTAGTACTAGTTTACCTTAGCAGTAGAAAAAAGATCATTGGATGGTGTTTATATATATATTAACTTCATTACATATAGCCATCCAAATCACACTAAAAAAAGTGGACTATAGTATTTTTAATAGACTTTAGTCATGGATGAAGAAAAGCATTTCCTCGAACTAGGCCCAAATCCTGTACGATTTGAACCTGTAAGCAAGATTTCAAATGTTTTCTTTGATGATGCTAATAAACAGGTTTTTGCTGTTCGTTCAGGAGGTGCTATGGGTGTTGTTGTGAAGGGCCCAGATGTGAAAACAAGTAGCAATTTTCGTATGGAAGATAAGGGTGATGTTATTTCTATAAAATTTTCACCAGACCAAAAAATATTAGCTATACAGAGATGTCAGAAGTCAGTTGAATTTGCAAATTTTTCTGATGATATTGATGCTTTAGAATATTCTCAGAGCTGTAAAGGAAAAACAACTAAAGTATTAGGATTTATCTGGACTGCAATTAATGAGGTGGTATTTGTTACTGATCATGGCATAGAGTTGTATCAGGTAAGCCCTGAAAAAAGAACTCTGAAATCCCTCAAAACATACAATGTCCCTGTAAATTGGTTTGTATATCAACCAGAAATAACTCTTCTGCTTTTGTCATCTGGTACACTTGGAAATATGCTGCATCCATTTCAATTTAGACCAGGTAGTGTTTATAGATTAGCGAAGTTTGAAGTTGACCTACCTATAATTCCCAAACCACCAAAATTGTGTTTGCTAGAAAGAGATGTAGCATTAGCAACAATTTATATGAAAACTTGTATCATTGTACTTAGGCATCAGTCCCGAGGCCCTGGTAATACTGGTGCAGAGATTGTTATATACACATTTCAGAAAGATACTCCACCAAGAAAAACTGACATCTTGAAGTTGGATATGAGTGGACGTTTTGCAGTTAATGTCATAGACAATCTTGTCCTTGTTCATCATCAGGCTTCAAAAACATCAATGATTTTTGACATAAGGTTGCCATGTGAAAGTGATGGCTACTTCAAGTATCATCGACCATTTACTTCACCTTACCCTATAAAGCCGTTTAAACTCAAGGTGCCTACCGTCCCAAGCCACAGTATGTCAGAATTGGCTGAAGTTGAATGTGAACTATATTCTCCTAACTGGATTGTATTTCAGCCAAACATTGTGATAGATGCCAAATTGGGATGTATGTGGTATGTGCAAATTCAATTAGAACCTCTTGTTGATAGAATTGCTGATAAATGTCTCCTGATTGACTTTTTGCTACTAAGAAAAACTTCCAAAGATGTTATCTTAAAGGTTTGTAGAAAGGGCATTTTACCAGAAAACCAGCTGTCTCTAGTGGATCTTGCAAGAATATTTGATAAATTGAACCATGTGTATAAAGCTTACGCAGAGAGTGAGGCTGCTCGTCAACGAGTTCAAGGTATAGTTATTGACCAGTCAGATATGTATACACATGTGTTTTCTGTGTTTGAGGAAAGTAGCGATATCAGTTATAAGTTAGTTGTTGCAGTTTTGATAGAGTATATTCGCTCACTGACTCAACACCAAATACCTGTACAACATTACTTGTATGAGCTCCTAATTAACACCCTTGTCCATCATCGTTGTTTCTACCAGTTACACCAATTTTTACAGTACCATATTCTCAGTGACTCGAAACCTCTAGCTTGTTTAATGCTTTCTCTGCAGAGCCTTTATCCTCCATCACATCAATTAGCTCTAGATATGCTAAAAAGACTAGGAACAGCTAATGAAGAAATAATTGAGGTTTTACTCTCCAAACAGCAAGTTGTGTCAGCACTAAAATTTATTCGAAGCACTGGTGACATGGATAACATTTCTGCTCGAAAGTTCTTGGAAGCAGCAATGAATACAGATAACCCAGCCATCTACTATGCTGTATTTAAGTGCTTCGAACAGAGGAATATCAGACTGAGAGGTTCAGCAGCATTTGCTAAAGGAGAACATTGTGAAAATTTTGTTAGTTATTTTGAAAATTTGTTTGGCTCTCGATCTAGTTTGAGTAACTATTGTGGACTAACCTAAGTATTTAAATGTATAGGGTTCTTCATGACAAAAAGGTAAAGGCTATTTAAAGTGAATCATTTCATACAGTGCATAAATATATGGTATCAAAAGTGGGAATTGCATATACACTTTCTATTTTATTCTTTAAGATAATTTATCTAGTACCCACAAATTTCTGTGATCTGTAATATTTGATATTAAAATAATATGGTGATAAAATAATCTGTGTCATGTGCTGTATGTTGCTTTATTTATCAAAATTTCTCTCAAAGTATGTTATTGAGAAATATTTTGATTTTAGTGGAAGATGAAATATATATATATATATATATAGTTATGTGTACATTCTTGAACACAAAACAACATTCTAAAATGGTCATAATGTGTAGGTGATATTTTTTTTAGACATAGAATGGTATATACCTGTAGCTTGTATTTCATAACATTATTATACAGTAGTTTTAACTTCAAAATATCAAAGCTTTAATCATTCAGCTAAATTACCAGTTACTTATAAAAAATATATTCAAGACATCATCATGTTAAATTTTATTTTCTTTTTTTTTTTTTAGAGGTAAAGTGTATGTATTATACTTGTTGTTAAAATGTTGCCTTTGTTAGCAAAATAAAACATTTTAAGTTGATACTTTTATTTCATATAATGAAAAGCTTGAGCTCATTAGTAATCTAAAATATGAGCTGTAAAGATAAGGGTTCTCTGAAAGAAAAAGTAATATGGTACAAATATGTATGAATTTAGGTTGTGTAAACTGGCTCAACTGTATAGTGTTTATGTTAAAACTTTATATGGAAGTATATCAATAGTAAGCTAACCACACACTGTTTCTAATATTTAAAATTCATTCTTGATTAATCCATTTGGAATTATTATTATTATTATAAGCAGATGAGACATTAAGAATGATATTTACACACTTCATACCATGCTCTTATTTGAATAAAGAAAATTATTTTTAGTACAATAATGTGTGAACACCATTTGGGTTAATTATCGTTGTATGGCTGTGTTACACTTCTGTAAGTATACTTTTTATATACATGGTTAATATTTTTGATTTCAAGGTACAGGTACATATCAAAAAATGGTCTCATGTATTTGCTATGAATGAAAGTATATGATAATGCTGTATTGTTCTGTATGTGGTCTCAAGCATTGTTTAGTGATAAATTTCTTACTTTATATCTAGAGTTATCTTCCTGCTGTGGTACAAAGATCAAAGTATATGAAATATATGTATCCATAAAAATCATTATTGGTTAACAGTATATTTATTTAATATAACATCTTCCATTATGAATTTCTTCAAATCTAGAAACCATCATCTTAGCAATAAACATAACTATTGCTTTAGTGAATGTTGTAACGTAGAAAGAGTACTTGTGTGTTAGTTTAGTGCGTAAGTAACAAAAATAATTTAGATGTGTGGATTTAAATACTCATTTGTGCAAAAAATGGAATTATTAAGGGAAAAGGATTTTATTAACAGAAACTAGTAAGTTACATAGTATACATATATATTTTGCATATTCTGAAACATCTGAAAATAATTAAATGTAAGATTTTAACATTCATCTTATAAGTTTTAAACTTCTTTTTTTATGTTTATCATTCTAATATTGTTTGAGGAGAGGTCTTAAGTAAATCCTTGAATCATACTAAAATGGCTGAATTAAATACTGCCAATTGCACCTACATTAAGAAATAATATGCAGTCCATGCATAACATGAATGATCTTAACATTATTGGTTTAATTTCTCTATATGCTTAAAGAATCACTCTGTTCAAAATATATTTTAAAATAGAATGACAATACATGTACAGGTGTAAATTTTATTTGTTTTATTTTATTAAACACAAAGTTAACTGAAATTAAGTAGTCAGATGACTTTAAACAAGTATCTTACAAATGACATTTCATTATAGTTAATGCAAAGTAATGCATTTGGGATCTAATTTGGATCATGTGTTAAATAGTAATGGGAACCAACTCAAAAATGTGGCAGAAGGAAAAGATATTAATAACATGGTTGATAAGCCACCAAAGCAGGGATATGTTGCTGGAAGTAAAGCCAATGCAGTGTAGGGTTATTTACAAATATCAATTACAAGTAGAAAGGTAATTATCTCTGTACAAATCTCTAGTACAGCCTCATTTTGAATATTGTGTTCAGTTTTGGTCTCCTAATTTAAGAAAGGATATTGGCTTGTTGGAAAGAGTTCACAGGAAGGCTACTAGAATGATTACAGCAATAGAAAAGTTATCTTTTAGGGGATAGGTTTATTTCTTATAACCTAATATATCTTGAGAGAAAAAAAAAGGTAGAATGTGATCATGTTTAAGATTATCAGACTATCCAGGAGACCTATAGTTTAAAGGCCTCTTGGTTTATTTTTGTTATATTCTGAAGATAACAGAAGAGAAAACACAAATTTGAGATTTGGAATAGACAGGTTAATTAACTAATGGAATGAGTTGCCATCAGAAGTAGTGGAGGCTAGCACCTTACATGAGTTTTAGATAGTAAAACAATTATTTCCTTAAAAGTAAAGATTCTTACTTTTTCAAATGGTGGGTGTGCAAGACTAGCCATGAAAGATCCAATGGTTTCTTGGTGTCTGTAAGTTATGTTAAATAAAAAACTGTTGTTTGATACATGTAGCATAAACATACAAAGGCAGCCACAGTATGGTACTACATGAAAATCTAGAATTAGTTTAAGTAGCTGTTAATTATGAGATAGAGAAAATAATGGTCACATATTTCTGCCAAATACTTTGGTAAAAGGTGTGATGTTGTATAAAGCATACAGGCAATACCATGATTGGTGGAGAACCAATAGGAGTTGAGAAAATTCAAGTGTACATAAATATTATACAAGCAAAAGATTACAGATGATTCCAAAAACAAATGGGAAGTTAGTGAGGGCAGGGGATAAAGTTGTAGGTGGTAAAGAAAATAGTTCACATGAAATGCAAAATTATGAAGAAATTGTTTTAAGTATGAAAAATGTTAGATAACAGAAGCTAACAGTTATGACTTATGGGAGCTTATTATGATAAGTTGCTTTCAAACTTGTACATTTACTCAAAATTGTTAAGTATGGAATATGTACGAGGTACTTAAGTGTTTTTTATATGTATGATATTGAAAGTATATTGGTGTTATTTGTATCTATTAGATCAGCAGAAATGTAATTAAATTCAAAAGTGCTCTTTTAATTTCAAACATGTATTACTGCAAGAAATCTGTGGTTCAAGAACAATAAACAGAAAAAATAAATTTATTAAATCCACCAATGGATTGTTTAACCCAATACTTACTGAAGGAGTCTATAGGGACTAAATTATTTGTGCACCAATTGCTTGTGGGTTCATGAGTCTTTTGATAACAGGGTTGCTAGTAACATAGTCTCACAAAATAAATTTGAACAAAAATGTCTCCAATATTACAATCTTACTAATTACCCCTGGGATCCCCTGTGTTTATTTTACACACCAAATGATCAGTTCTTTACACTGAGTGTTGTAACAGATAAAAACAGTTGCTCAGTATTATGGAATATGTGGACACCAGACACTGGTAGTAAATGATATAAAAATAAGTCAATTTTACATCAGTCTCATGTAGAACACATTGAAGTTTCTTTTAATAGGCATAAAACAACTTTCATTATGGATGTGATATAGTAGAAACTATTTTTTCTTCTGAGAAACTTGGTGTGCTGGACTGGGAATCCAAACATCCATGCTTTATACCCTGTTGCCACAAAATATAAATACTGAGAGTTAAATCTATTCAATTAGAGTTGGTAGTGCGTGTTGTTAACTAGATGCCTTCCCTCTAGTCTATAAGTTCAAAATTAGAGTTGACTAGTGCAGGTAGCTTTGTGCAAATGTCCAAAAAGGATGCAGTTATTTGGTATATATAATTATGAAAATCTATAATTTAGAAATATATCTATGTTATAAAGTAGGAGTTTCTAAAATTGTAAATCTGTATATTAAAAGAAGAGATATCATTTTTAACCATTTTTTTAAGTGGATGTCTAGATGTAGTTTACACAATCTTTATAAAACAAGCTCCTCAAAGAAACTGGGAATTAGTATATTTTGTAAATATGTAGTAATGTATATTGTTGTGCCTGTTTCCTTTTTTACCGAACTTTTTAAAAACATATAATTTATATAGACTTCAAAAATATTTTGAAAGCCTTGGATCGTAGCAAAGTTTTAGTGCACTGCGTAATACATTTAACTGAAACAAAAAATGAAGACTTCTGAAGATATTTTAATGATGATTTAGAAAATTTACACAAACAGAATGTGATCAAAGACTGTCCTTGGACATACATGAAAAACACTTCATCTTGGCCCCTCAGTGGCACAGCGGTATGTCTGCGGACTTACAACACTGCAAACCGGGTTTCGATACCCATAGTGGTCAGAGCACAGATGGCTTATTGTGTAGCTTTGTGCATAAATTCAAACAAACATTTCATCTTGAAACATTAAAAATATTAACACAGAGTGCAAGAAAATACAAAAAAATATATTGCCTTTGTCATTTCTGATGAACAAAGTTTCACATTTAGCCCTGGTGTTGGATAGTACTTGTTACCCTGAGTAAGTCTGACATACCTGTGAAATAAGAAATGTTGAATTTAAACAATCTAGTAGAGGATCATGTTTTCTACTTTCTTATATCAATATACTATTGTTCTAAATTCATCAGTTATTCTGGGTATGTTCAGTTTTCATAGACAAAATAGTGAAGAAGGTTGTAAAGTTGATTTTGTTTTAGCTATCTTTGTTCTTTTATCCTTCTATTAAAATCATATCTGTTCTCCTCATAATAGTATAGCTGCACATTGAGCAATAATGTAGACAGCAGTGTCCTCCAATGGTAGATTAGGTGGTATCTTGAAATTACAGTCTCCTCTATATTTGAATGATAATGACCAGTCATGTGATAAGTGCTAGTTGCCCTTGATAAATCCAACATTATCTGTATTTCATTAAACTTAAACCAAACAAATGTGCTTTCTTGCACACAAAAGTGAAATTTCTGTCACATTGTGAGAAAAGATAAATATCCACACATTCTTCTAAAATAACAGTGATGCAAAATTGGTCTCAACCTGTGACCAAGCAAGAAATTTGTAGTTTCCAAGATTGTCTTACCATTATGGGGCTTCTTCAAAAGCTGAGGAGCACTTCAGGTGGAAAGAAGAATGTGACCAAGCATTCTAGTTTTGGAAATGGGCTTCATTATAAACCCCAGTGTTGGTTTATCTATGACAGGTTTTAGTTCTTGTTGAACACCTGTTCCAATGATAGTGAAATTGGAGCAATGTTATTGCAGTTGCAGGATGAAGTAGAATGGATAATTATATATGCTAGTCAAATATTGATGATTCCATTCCTGAACACAGACACTGTACAACAAATAAAGAACTGCTTGCAGTTATGGCCTTCATAAAAAGTTACTTTTATGTAGAAAATTTGTTGAGAAGGTCATGCATGCTGATGAATTTTAAAACCTCAGAATGCATGATATCACACAGGATAACAGCACTATAGGAGTGTGATCTATTCATACAGTATTGCTCAGATTTGCAACATGGAAATTCTGACAGACTGTCTTGCCACATATTGAGACCCTATCCATTCGTTGGATGTTCAAACCCTAAGCACCATGCTGGAGTTGAAACAATTTTTGCCATAGCTACAGTAAGCTATAATCCAAGATATTCCACTAATGGATGGATGCCACATGAATAATGCTTTGAGAGTGCTGGGAAGAGTAACAGAAAGACCCAGCAGCAAGATGAAGTGCAACCCAATCAGATTGAGGAATGTAGTACGAATGCACATACTCTGCGATACTTGTACAAGCAGTTATGAGTCCAGGAAGGTGTGCTGTAATGTTGTTATAAGCCACCAAACTGTGACTCTCAGCCTGTTTTCCAGCTATTGGTCCCCAGTACTTTATGCTATGAGATTCTCCAGACTCTCCATAATATAGACTGGAGAATATCAAGATTTTACCCACTCATGTACTAACATTCAATGGCAATTTTATTGGCCACATTTGAGATAAGACGTTCAGCAGTGGTGTCAAACTGTATGCTGTCTGCTACCCAGAGGAACTGTCTGAACAGGGTAAACTGCTACATATAATTGTTGGTTCTCCACTACAGAGAATAGTCCTGGATATTGCATATACTTATGGCCATTGAGTACTTCACAAATTGGGCCAAGGGTTATCCATTGGTCAATTTTGTCAGCACATTAAGTGGCTGACTCATTGTGGGAGCATTTAATAACCTAGTTAGGAGCACCTGAAGAGGTCCGTATGAAACGGGGAATCTTTATCAGCTAACTGTTCTTTGAGATATGTAAACTTTTTTGTGTGGTGAAGATGTCCACTTTGTCTTATCACAACTAATCTGACGACTAGTAAAGTTGGTAATACAGTGTCAAATATATATATTTGCTAAGTTTGTTAATACCAACCAAACTGACTAGGATGAACACTTAATATACGTCAGGTAGCATATTGCACAACTGAATAGACATCAGCAGGTTGATCAATGAATATGTTTATGTTCAGCTGGAAAGTCTTGCTCCCTGTAAATGTGATGTATTGCCTTTACCATAGAGCATATATCCCACAGTGTCCACAACAATATGTGGAGTGGTTAAAGTCTGCAGTGAATTGAATGAAAAGCCACCATATGACAGAAGAAAGTGCCATGACAAGACAGTAAAGGAATGAATGTACCATAATGAAAATTGGGTGTGGCTTGAGTACATACCAACAGCAAAGAAGCCACTCAGCTCTAGCTGTACAGAACCTCATCAGAAGTTGAGAGGTACGTGAAAGCACATAGTTCATATCGATCAGCTGTGCCCATATATTGCCCAAAAACTAGTGGCTTGATGAGGAAGATATCGATGAGCCAAAATAGCACTGTTTTATCTTATTTTGAGCCAGAAAATTAAGAGAAAAAAGTTAAAAGTACTTATCGGACAATCCAGGAGAGCCAGGTGTGGAAGTGCTAAATCTGGAGACGAGAGAGAGCTCCAACAGTCAGTCAAACTACTGTTATTGGCCTCCCAATTGATATGGCAAGGATTGAACTTGATCATCACAAAGATAGGACAGCTTGTTCCAGTACATGTAATGTCAAGTGCATACACAGCTTGTAAAACTGGAGATGATAGCTAGGCAGTGGTGTGTGAACGTTCCCTTACCCTTTTTTTTAGTCGGAACGCCGTTCCCTCACTATTTCGAACGAACCCGACCTTACAAATCTCAAACTTAGTGAGGTTTTGCCCATCCCTAGAAGAAAGAATCATTAACCCTTTTATCCAGGTTGTAGGCAAGTTATCAAAGTATAATGAAAGAAATACTGCAAAATGCAAAATAAAACGTGTAGTTCTGTTAGTACTGATCACGAAGTTTCAAACAACTTATGGTCAGAGTTTATATTTCTTTTCACACTTATTTTCTGTAGTTATTAATTATATTGTTAGCAACTGACTTAGAAACTCGACGAAACAAAATGAATAGTACTGTTGGGACTTTTCAGTATGGACCACGAAATTCCAAAGTAAATCTCCTGAAAATTTCTACTTCCAATCTTTTCACACCTATTTCCTGTGTTTATTTTACTGTTTGTGATTGAAGTAGAAACCTTTCAAAAACAAAACAATGAATCTCCTTTTTTTTGGCATTAGGCTTTTCCTGGCTTCGAAAACACAGTTGGGTAGGGTTTATCGGCTTGTTTGTAGTGCAGTAATTACAACCAGCATTGTTTAAAGTACTATATAAAAGTGAGAGAAAATATTTACGATATGGCTGTATACTTGTTAGGTATTTGAATGTTAGTAACCTCCCTCATTGGTCAGGATTTAGCGGTATAGACGTAAAAGTGTATGTTACGACAGCGGAGGTCACGTGACCCTAGTAACACGTCATGCGCTTCTAGAAAATTCATGTCCCTTCTTGAAACCTCGAGTGTTTACTAGATATGCGGTATTCATGTATATAAGACCGCCTAGAAGTGACGGCAACAATGTAATGTAGTTGATTTGCAGACAGAGATAGAGACCGACAGTTGGATCGAGCGCGTGAGTCGTTCGTTGTGAAATATAGCGTTTGTTTAAGTTATAGCCTGACTGTGGAAATTAAGTGAATTTCAAAGTTGTATTGAGAAAGAATAAACTAGTTTTATTTAAGAAAGGACTTGTGTCGCTAAA